CATGGAGATATTTATGATGCAGAACGCAGGCACTTTTGACTGAAACTTTTTACCATTTTGTCAACATATTTCAGTTTTTTCTCATATTTTATTTTTTGGCTTGTTTTATATTTATGTTTTTTCTATTTATACATATTTGTTGAAGCAACAAACCAGAACGAGTTCATTAGTTTTCTGCTGCTGTTTGGTTGAAACCATCAAAGGATCGTTCCGGGCCATCAGCCAGGACTCCTATCATCCTTTCAGCAAATGCTCTCGTCCTTCAGTTACTGCTGCTGTTGGTGCTGGGCCTTTGGTTCATTCATTCCTCTAGGAACTCCGGCAACTGTAATGGGAACAGACTGCGGCTGCTGCCGGCTTTTATAATGAAAAGTTGTGGCAACTTGTTGTGCCCCATGATTTGGAAGCATTTCCATTGCAGCCACACATGCCCCCTGAACTTTTAAAGTTTCCCAGACTAGAAAGTTTTACATTCTGATACCGATATGCGAGTCTGCCCTAATAGTTGAAAAATATTTTCGAGTATTTATGCATATTTCATTAATTAGCTTTTGCAGTTGTAATTCCATACTTAAACGACTCCAACAACAAGGCGTATACGCAATATTACGTATACGCAACATTATCCTCCGAGATATCAGAAAACGGAAAAGGAAAGTGATGGAATGGTGTGAGTGATTTGTAAAAAGGAAGCTTCTGCTATCAAGGCAGACACATCCTGAGCGTTTTTTCGTGTTTGTTAATCGTTTTCATTTATTTCTTCACACTCCCACCCTCCAATCAAAGAAAATCAGATATGTTAAGTACTGTGTTTGCGTAAAAAAAACTGACTGACACACGCATTAACGAGAACCAAAATCAACAACAAATGTTGCGATGTACGCGAATCAATAATGCGATTTTGACAACCTCCTTGTGCTGTCTGGGGAACATTTGTTGAGTTTTCAACTTTTATACGAGAAAAAAAGAAACCGAAAAAATAAAGTTCCTTCAGAGGGATTAGAGACAGATACGAAAGCTGCCAGCTCAGTGCACAATAGTTGCTCTCGGAGTTGTTTCAATTGCAAAAGTTTCCCCAATTCTCAGTTCGTTTGGTTTGTTCTTATTTTTTTTTTTGGTTCGAGGGTTATCTTGCAAGGTTTCTCTATTAAGTTGCTGGTGAATGGTATGTGATTTAAGTGGTTCGAGCTTGGTTCAGTTGCAACTCGATCTGAAAGTGAATTTTATTTTTTTCCTTCATCTCTTCGAATCATAAACATCAAGCTACCGCAATGCATCATTGGGCAAATTGCTGAAGCAACAGAGGAGCCACTAAAATTGGGAAACTACTCGACGTGACGCACGTACTTTTCTATTTCGTTTCTTTTTTTGTCGCAGATGAAGGAGACATCGATTCAATTTTATATCCTCGCATGCTTGTGGCCTTGTTTTTGGGGTATTTTATAAAAAAGGGTTGCTCTAGACAGGGGAATAAATAGGTTTCGAATTCGGAAACATCTAGTAATTATAGGAATACATATATGATACCCGATACTTTTCAAGAAAAAAAGCCTTAGAAAAAAGATAGAAAAGCCTTTCGTAATCAGTTCTAATGTTGACAATAATATCAACCTTTTTTGCTACCCTTGATAGATTTTTTAGAGAAATAAAATATACCTTTATGGTAGCCTCTCCCAAGTACCAGGTATCACAAATAAAATATTGAAAAAAAAACATTTTCCCCTTCGACGTAGCGAGTTGCAATAAACTCAAACCTTTGCTTGGCGATTCAATTCAATTGATTCAATTGGGATTGTATCGGGCTTCGTTTTATGCTCGTTTTGGCCAACACATATTACGACTTAGTATATCCGGAAATGCGTCCCCCTTTCCGATAGCCCCTATTCTGTTGCCTGTTCCCGAGTGCCTCATTTATCTGTTACCAATGGTTCTACTTTATTTTTTTTTTCTCTTTTTTCGGATGTGTGGGTGTGTACTTTTGTGGGTGACATACTCTCCCGCAAAAATGTAATGTTAGACGGGTGTAAACTTTTATACTCGTATTTTTAAGTTTCTAGGGGATGGCAGGCAGGGCGGCAGGGCAGGGCGCCTTTTACGAGCCGATAATGTTATTCGAGTTGGAATTTTATGAATTGACCATTTTGTTTTTGTGCCCGTGAGTGGGCGGGATATTTGATCGCTTCCCTATTGCCACTTGAATGCCATGACTTGTGCAATTTGCATCAAAAATTGTGTCACGACTAGTTTCGTTACACTTCATTCCATTTCTTTTGTGCATATTTCAGCAAGTTTTCAGAGGGGAGGGATACGAAGTCATGGGGCATCGGAATGTGGAGTACACATTGGCTTGCAAGGAATTTTTTGGCTCACTTTGAGCCTGGCCTTTTCTTGTCGGATCATCGTGTCCTTTTGCCGGGAGGACAAAATATTTGGCGATTTTGTGGATGGTTTCCACAGTGGTTTTTGGGGTCTAGCGAATGGAATTTGTCGGAAATATTTGATATACGTTTGATGATGATAAGATGAAAAGCTGTTTATTTTATTAGGGGTTTTTATTTTTTAAATTTTGCGACAAGGTAAAGCTTGAAAAATTGTGCCGTCTGTTTGTAACACACTCTGTCCTTTAAATATTTCTTTTAACTCTCAACAAGTAAATAACAATCTAAACCTATTGAGGAAACTTTATTTCTTAGTTAACTCTTAGTGGGAAGGCCCAGTGCCTGCCGCCACATGTGTGAGTGTTTACTTTCGTGAGTGACTGTCTACAGTCGCCCAGAGTTGCATTCCTTCTGCCATTCAGCTATTTTTCTCAAGTGGCAACCAAAAGTTTCGAGCCAAAAATAAAAACTTCTCCCGAAGTGAGGAAAAAACTTTTGCAAGCGTGGCCAACTTTTTGTCCTGTTTGATGCTGCGTAGTATTAATATTTTTCTATTCTCATCGCTCCTTTTTCCATTTTATGAGGAATTCCTGGGCGTTGTCTGTCCTCTTGTATTGGAAATGCAATTCCATATATATATAGAAATATATTCCATTCAACAGTATCAAAATACATCACGATTTGCTGAACACTTTTCTCTTCCCACTTCCTAGTTTGTTTTTAGTTTTTCTTTAGAAATATACATTACTCTTGAGTTTTGATTTCAGGTCTTATACCATTTTTTTCTTGCAACACTTTCCATTTTTATAAAATTTAATTTATTTTACAATTTGTTGTTTACTGAAGTCTCAACGAAGTCGTTGCGTGTTTTATAATTACAATTCGCTTCCTGAAAAAGCCACATACATGTGAGCTTCATGTTTGCTTATATGCATTGTTTTTTGTCGTACATTAAGTTACCCCAGGACTCGTGTTTAAGCCCTTTCTTTCCTGGCTGCCACCATCCGCGCCTTGACATTTCAAATGCCCCACTAAATTACTGCAACACACCCGCACAAAGTACACAAATTTGCATGCTCAGAACTTCTTGCCCGCTGAAATAGGGCTCTTAAATATGGGTTTAACGAATATTTTGTATCTATTAATTTTAGTTTAAAATATTTTGAAAAAATATAGAAGAGAAATATAGAAAATATAGAGGTTTTTTTTAATCAAGAATTTTTTTCACTTGATTTGTTTATCATTTAGTTTATCATCTAGATCAAGTATAAAAGATCCTTTACAATTCTGTTCTACAGGATACAGGAAGAACCTACTGCTGAGAATACAATTTACGCTTTTCCAGACATTTTTCATTTGGTTTGTTGTTGCTTTTTTGGCCAAACTTTTTATGGCCGCCCCCAGAAGACAACGAATGCGGTTTTGTTTTTGGTGTTTGTGTGTGTTTAAGCCGCAAACACCCACAGCCCACATGTGTGTTCCGCCTGCATGCAAAGTGCAGTGCATCGAGTTGACAAAAGTTCTCTTGAATCATTAAGAGGCAGGGCATGCAATGGATTAATTACAGAACTAACATACTTAACAAAAAAGTTAGGCACTACATTTAAATATCTAGGGATGAAGCTTGACAATTCAAACAAAAAATAATTTATAGTTAAGAGCGTTAAAGCCAAACATCACATTTAGTGAAAAATACATGACTATAATTTATTAATATTTAGCCAAAATACGAGTACAAAATTATAGATCCAAACAAATTTAAATGAATGGAATTCGAGTTGAAAATTAGAGGTTCTGCAAACGAGGTTGAATCATTAAATCGGTTCATATCTCTGGCAAATTTGTGAAGATTTTCAAACGTTGGTTCGCCTCCGAACTTCTTGATATTTGAGCCATTTTCATACCAGAAAAAAGCCGGCACTTTAGTCACATCCAGTTCCTTGCACAGCTCGGATGCATCGTCACTTTTACAGCTTAGTTCCGCAACACAGATATTTTTTTTCTTCTTTAAAGCTTCGGCCACTTTGATCCAAGTTTGTGCTACTGCCTGGCAAGCGGTACACTCCGGTAAATAAAATTTTATATAGAAAAACCCATGCCTTATGGTTTCGTCGAAATCCTTAGCTCTTAATTGAAGCACATGGCCAGGAACACATTCATTGGCATCCAAATCCACCACCCTTGGGTTTGTACAATTTTTCAATGATTTTGGAGTTGCACTGATTTCCGGTATAGGTATGAAAACCAAAAGAGTCATCAATAAAAGCCAAACCACAGAAATTTTTAACATTTTGGTAAATTTGTGTGACAAAAATTTTGGATGAAATTTATGATGTGACAATTTGAAGTTTTTTTCCAGGATTGGTTAAGATCTCAATATAAATTTTTTTTTAAACCTTTTAAAATTTTATCACAAAAAAAGCCACGAATTAATTTTTTTAAATTTATTTTCTTTAAAAAATGGTTTACACTTGATAGAGTCAGTTCACATGATTGTGTTTTAGAAACTTGAGGAAATTATCACTTAAAATCTAGCTTCACATGCTCAGAGTATGTAAGAATAGGTGGGTTCGTGTTTTATGCATAAATTGAAATTGTCTCTGGAAATATTTATACTGCAAGTTAGTCTGATTCCTGGGTGTTGCCAAGTTTCCGGGGATCGACGTTCAGTCCAAGTTTCTCCAATTTGCGAACTTTTCGCATTTGTTTGGTCAGCCGGCGCTTAAAGGTGATCTCTCTGTTGAGGTTCATGATCTCAATTGTGTCGTACTGCCTGATGTTTTTGATTGTCTGCAAGATCAGGTTGTCGGTCAGGTGGAGCTTGATGGTGGACATCTTCATGAAGGGGGCATCCCGACGCCTCAACTCCTCCCTGTAGGCGAAGAGCGTGTAGTGCAGTGATGGCAACGACGGCAAAGGACGCTCCAATTGTGGAAAAAGTAACTCAGCCATGGTGGAAGGATTTTCTGGTTTGACTTCAAAGGATATGTAAATACGTATAGAGAGTGCTGCGTAACGATCTGATCGTCTCGAGAGTCCAGAGTGCAGTGCTGTTTCTGTTCAGCTATCCCTGATTTTTATACCCTTAGCACCCGGCTACCTAACTACCTGCTCTTGATTCTTCAAGGGAATCCGAGACATCCTGCCACCGGCACATTTTCTCGGGAAATTCCAAAAGTATCCTACCAGCTGGCGCTTCCTACCTGCTGCGACAGCTGCAAATGACGGGTTCTCCTTAGCACGCGTTTATCCTGGGATTTCCTTATTCTCAAAAATATAATTTTGGTCCTCTAATGTACAGTTTAAAATTTTAATAAATCCTGAGTGCAAATTTTCTGACAAAGAGTATGTGGGCAATGTTTCTTTTATTTATTTTAATTTGTGGAATTAATAAGCATCCAAGCAAAAATTCGAAAATTCATTTGTTTATTAAAAAGCAGCCATAATTTGTGGGTTTATTGTCATGATCCACTAACCTAATGGAAATGCAAATTAAAAGCTTGATTTGAGCATTCCATTTGTCATTTTAATTACACCATCGAATTAGTTTTATTTTATTTGTGTATTCTGTGTATTATAACCTTTTTCATGGAAATTACCCAAAAATAAAGTACGTCGTTCAATTAGGCACAATGTTTCAATTACATATTTTAAATGGCAAATACTGTCACCGTCAAATAAGCTAATTAGAAATGAGAACATATTTCATAATTTATAAATCGGGGTTTTCCGCATCAGGTTCTGTGGTTTAGCTGCCACAAAATAAGCCAAATGGCCAAAAACTAATAACCAAAAAAATTTAATACAATTGTGGGTTTGGCCTGTGCAATAATGATTACATATTTCGTATAAATTGGGTGATGTGGCAACAAAAAAATTTAGGAACTTACTCATTTCCAAATTTTAATAATTCAACGTTTTGGCTTAAGTTTCCTAAAGGAAGAAGTGTGAAATGTTATGTAGCGGCATCTTCATTTATTATTTAAGAGGTCTTATGCATTCAATATACCCAATTTCCAAGGAAACTCGATACCATTTGGCAATCAAACAAAAAACTATAAAAGGGAAAATTATAGCATATAATTTTCACTTCAAGTTAAGACTTCTGGACCTCTAGAAAAATGTTGGGAAAGCTATTTCCTCATATAAAACCAAAAACTCTACAAGAGAAGGTGTACTCCCGAGACGCATTTATTTATTTGGATCGAGTGATGTGGTCTTTTGGCTGGACAGAGCCCAAAGAAAAAAGGTAATAAAATATTCAATTCTTAGAAAAATATTTAAATTACAATTTCAAGGTGGAAATGGTTGTATGGTCTTTGGACCTTAACCACAACCATAGTGGTCTTAATCCTGTTGCCAATTTCGATGGTTGTATCATACGTGGACAGTTTTCACAGTTTTTCCGCTGGAGAGTTCCTCAGTTCCCTTGAAATTTGTGTTAATATTTATGGTTGCTGTTTAAAGTGCGCCTTTTTAATGAGAGGACATCTGATGTTCCAGGAGGCCAAGAAATTTCTAGATCGTCTGGATGAGAGCTGCCATGGAGATGAGGAAAACTTAACTATGCGTCGTTATGTAGCATGGGGAAATTTTTGCTATATTATATATCATATATTATACTGGGGATTTGTGTTTGTCAACTTTACGGGCTATATTCTAATAAGAAGACACGCCTGGAGGATGTATAACCCTTTCCTAGACTCGGAGGAGAATTTTTATTCATCCAGTTTTGCCGAATTTTTTCTGATGAGTGCCGTAGTTACCATGGATCAGTGCACGGATGTGAGTCCGTTGACCCATGTCCTGATGGCACGCTGCCACATCACCTTGCTCAAGGACCGCTTGAGTCGATTGCGCCGGGACATTCAAAAAAGTGAGGATGAACACTACAGCGATTTGACCAAATGCATCAAGGATCATCGATTGATTCTGGAGTAAATATCTTAGAAACTATTTTCAAATTAAAGAATTTATCGAATACTTTCAGATACATCAACGTTCTGCGTCCTGTTTTTTCGGGAACTATTTTTGTTCAATTTCTTTTGATAGGAATTGTTCTTGGCCTATCGGCTATAAATCTTATGTTCTTCTCAACTTTTTGGACTGGACTAGGAACCTTATGCTTCATGTTCGATGTTTGTCTGGAAACCTTTCCTTTGTGCTATTTGTGCAATGTTATAGTTGATGATTGCCAACAGCTTTCAGACACTCTCTTCCAATCGAATTGGTTGTCCGCCGATCGAAGATATAAATCAACTTTGGTATATTTTCTTCACAACCTTCAGAGACCCATAATTCTTATGGCGGGAGGTGTTTTCCAAATATGTATGCAAACAAATCTATCGGTACGTTTTTAAGGAAGTACAGTTTAATGCATTTTCTAAAATTTTTTTTTTCTTAATTACAGATGGTAAAATTGGCATTTTCCGTGGTCACTGTAATGAAGCAATTTAACCTGGCTGAAAAGTTTCAATAAGTTGCAATATATGTATAGTTTACTACATGTTACCCTAGTGTCCCGACTATATCCACGTTTGAACTATAAGTGATATACAAATCAAAGCTACGGTTGAAAAGAAAAATAGTTGAACATTAGCCAAATGCCTTTATTAAATAAATAACTATGTTTAAGAAAATTTAATGAACGGTCGGAGGTGCCTAAAACGTTTCTAAAATTCCTTTAAGTTGTTCACGGTGGGCGTTTCTTGAGGCTTTTGGTCACGATAACTCAATTAGATCCTTTTCAAAGGTGTCATTTATTACAGCGAGTGTTTCCCATAACTCAATAATTGATGTAATGATTTGTAAATGTCAAGAATTTCAAAACAAGCTAAAGATTCGAATAAAAGATATCTTTTATTAAGTATATTTTATATGAAATATTAAAATACTAAGTATTAAGTACTAAGTATTTCCAGTTATTTTTTGAAGAAAGAAATAAGTAATGTAGGTTCAGTATATTTTACTATAATAATACAATGGAATTTGTATGGTTCGAACTTTAAAGCACCTAGTAAATGTCCTATATACCCAACTTTATTGAAAAATTACACAAAATTCCAAACCGGTATAAAAGGAAAAACTTATCCAGATAGCTTCATATTTATAGCAAAAATGCTTAGCAAGTTATTTTCGCTCATAAAAGCAAAACCTCTTTCGGAAAAAGTACAATCCCGTGACGCATTTATTTACTTAGATCGGGTTATTTATTATTTTGGCTGGACAGAACCAGTTGAAAAAAGGTATTTACATTATGTAGACCTCTTAAACCTAAATACCATTTAGAAATGCCAACTATTATACTTAATTTATTTTTTTTATACCAAAGATGGAGCTCTGCCTATAAAATTTGGACTATTTTTACGACTATTTTGGTATTAATTCTACTTCCGATCTCAATTGTTGTGGAATATGTTCACCGATTCAAAAGCTTTTCGCCTGGAGAGTTTTTGGGTTCCCTGGAGATCTGTGTGAACATGTACGGATGCTCCTTGAAGTGTGGGTACACCATGATGGGGCATCGCAACTTCCAGCAGGCCAAGAGGCTGTTGGATCTCCTGGACAAGAGCTGCATCAAGGACGAGGAGAAGGCCAGGGTGCATCGCTATGTGGCTTTGTCAAATCTGTGCTACGTTCTCTACAATTTCTTATTCTCCAGTTATGTTGTCATCAGTTTCACAGCATTTTTCCTGAAGGGACGACACACCTGGAGAATGTTCATTCCCATGCTCGACACGGATAGTCATTTCTATGTGTCCAGTTTTGTGGAGCTAACCCTTATGAGTTCCATAGTCCTCATGCAACAGTGCACCGATGTCTGTCCTTTGGCCTATATGTCAATGGCTCGTTGCCACATAACCTTGCTCAAGGACCGGTTAAAGGCACTGCGTTTGGACCCCAAAAAGAGTGAGGATGAACACAGCAGGGAGTTAACGGAATGCATTCAGGATCATCAATTGATTTTGGAGTAAGAATTAAATTAGATAACCAATCAATCAATCAACCAAATCTCAACTCCAGTTATGTCAATGCACTTCGTCCGGCTTTTTCTGGAACCATTTTCGTGCAGTTCCTTCTTATTGGCATTGTTTTGGGTCTATCAACCATTAATGTGGTATTCTTTTCAACGTTTTGGACGGGTCTTGGTACTCTCATCTTTATGTTCGATGTCTGTTTAGAAACATTCCCATTTTGCTATCTGTGCAACGTTATCATGGATGATTGCCAGGAACTTTCGGAATGTCTATTCCAATCGAACTGGATATCAGCAAGTCCTCGTTATAAGTCTACTTTGGTATATTTTCTTCACAATCTGCAGCAACCAATAGTACTCATGGCTGGTGGGGTTTTTCAAATTTGCATGCAAACCAATTTGTCAGTAAGTTGTATTGAAATTCTTTATAACTTTTTAAAATAATAATTTTTACGTTTTAGATGGTTAAATTAACATTCTCGGTGGTCACATTAATAAGACAATTCAACATTGCTGAAAAGTTTCAGTAAACTGTTTTTTTTTTTAATTAAGCGTTCATAAATGATGAAATATTAAATAAATAAAAGCTTTTGTTGTAATTTCTGGAAAGTCTCTTCTTCATAGATCCATAGTCTAGGATCCACTTACTTTTCTTAATTTATTCAATATATTCTGATTGAAAAGGTAAACATTTTTACTTTTCAGAATGAAAGCAAATTATTTATTTAAGCAAAGCTATTTAAAAGACAATCTTGATTATGTATCAAGTTTTTATACATTTTTAAAATGGCCTAATAATTAGTGTATTTAAAGATGATCAAGTACGTATATACGTATGTATGTATAATATATATAATGTATGTTTATAAACTTTATCAAAGTCCAACATCCATCTACTATACCTAAGTTTATATGTCTAACTAATCCAACGGATCGGCTATGTATATTTGTCTATTCTTTAGACTTTAGTCTTTAGATCAAAAGTAAAACATATAAAAAATAATGTATCAAACTTGATGAAAGTTTTGAAGGATTTCTGGGGTGATACGCCCTCTGACACCAAAATAGCATTATTTTAAAATTTCATTTGGGAGGCAGCTGTTGTCTTATTAATTATGCACTTTTTCCCATTTGACAACAAAAAGATGCAAGTCATAAACCTTGCCACAACAAACCAGTTTCCTATAAAATACCATTTCCGGTTACCTCTCCTTTATTAAAAGAGGAAAGTCGTCGAAATGTTGAGCAAATTTTTTCCGAGAGTCGAGCAAAAGTCACTGGACGAGCCGGTGCAGTCGCGGGATGCCTTCATCTATTTGAATCGAGCTATGTGGGGCCTCGGATGGACAGAGGCCTACGAAAAAAGGTAAGATTTTTGAAAATACTTCCAATTTTTAAAAATGTCTACACTTTCTTTTAATCTTTTCATTTAAAGATGGCAATATTGGTACAATATGTGGACCATGTTCACAACATTGATTTTTATTATCCTACTGCCGATGTCGATGGTGGCTGAGTACGTTCAAAACTTTCGGAATTTTTCGGCTGGCGAGTTCCTCAGTTCCCTCGAGATCAGTGTGAACATGTACGGATGCTCCTTCAAATCAACTTTCATCATTCTGGGCTTTCCGAAGTTCCAAGAGGCTAAGAAGATCCTGGACAAACTGGACCAAAGTTGCCAACGGGATCAGGAGAAACTGGGGATACGCCGATACGTGGCTTGGGGTAACCTATGTTTTATGCTCTACCAGATGTCATTCTCCTTCTTCGTGGTTGTCAACTGTGCGGGCTATATGATAATGGGCCGCCATGCCTGGAGGATGTACTTTCCGTTTATTAATCCCGATAAGTACTTTTTCTCCACGAATTTCTTGGAGTGTTTCCTAATGGGTTCCGTGGTTCTCATGGACCAATGCACGGACGTGAGTGCCCTGACCTTTATACTGTTGGGACGCTGTCACATCACATTGCTTAAGGATCGCCTTACCAGACTTCGAATTGATCCCTCCAAGAGTGAGGAAGAGCACCTGAAGGAGTTGAACAAATGCATTGAGGATCATCGTTTAATTTTGGAGTAAGTCTTTGTTGCTTTGTTTGACTTTCTTTATAAACTTTTTTTTAATCTTCTAGCTATTTTAATGTTTTGCGGCCTGTCTTTTCAAAGACCATTTTCATACAGTTTCTATTAATCGGACTCGTCCTTGGCCTATCGATGATCTACGTCCAGTTTTTTGCAACCTTTTGGATGGGAATTATAAACTTTGTGTTTATGTTTGACGTGTGTCTGGAGACGTTTCCTTTCTGCTATGTCTGCAACTTAATCATCGATGATTGCCAGGAGCTGGCAGACAGTCTTTTTCAATCCAATTGGATGTCGGCCGATCGTCGCTACAAGTCTACTCTTATATATTTCCTTCACAATCTTCAGCAACCCATTGCACTCACAGCTGGAGGAGTTTTCCCAATTTGCATGCAGACTAATTTGTCGGTAATATTATATTTTAATCTATTTTTGTTTTCCGTATCTAATCATTTTTGTATTTTAAGATGGTCAAGTTGGCTTTCTCAGTCGTAACGGTTATTAAACAATTTAATTTGGCTGAGAAGTTTCAGTAGGACAACCGTCTACAATATTCAAAAAATAATTCACAAAAACACCATGTTACTTATTAGCACCAAGCACATACATATAGTAGAAAATGTCCAGCTATTATCACTGTTCAAGTTCAGCTTTCAATAAAGAAAATAATAAAAGAAATTAATAAAAAAAAAAATAAAAAAATTGATGCATTTTATATTCCAACTTGCAGTGGGTATTAGGACGTAACCCTTCTTTATTATTCAGATTGAATTTATAATTCTCCTAGGTATATGGTTAACGTAATTTAATTAATACCTGCGAAAATTGTAAGGAAATCCACAATCGGAATTTTTCTATAAAAGAAACTTTTCGCGCAACTTAAATGTATTTTTGTTATAGATTTAAAAGACATGTTAAGCCGCTTATATCCCCTGACAAAGGAAAAGTCTCTGGAAGAGCGAGTGCAGTCGCGGGATGCCTATATATATTTGGAACGAGCCATGTGGGTCTTCGGATGGACAGAGCCCAATAACAAAAGGTTTACCTCGTAGTACCGGAATGTATAAAAAGACTACATATATTTAATCTATTTTTTAAAGGTGGAAATTATTCTACAAACTCTGGATGTTTTTCACAACTTTCGTGATAAATGTCCTGGTTCCCCTGGCGATGGTTGCGGAGTATGTTCACAGCTTCAGCAGTTTCTCAGTGGGCGAGTTCCTCAGTTCCCTTCAGATTTGCATTAATATGTTTGGTTGCTCCTTGAAATGTGCATTCATCAACTTGGGATACCCCAAATTCCAGGAAGCCAAAAGGGTTCTGGACAAGCTTGACGAAAGTTGCCAAAGGGATGAAGAGAAAATAGGAGTGCGCCGATATGTGGCTTGGGGAAACCTTTGTTTCGCCATCTACCACATATTATTTTCATTCTCCGTGGTCGTAAATGGTGCTGGTTTCATGCTGATAGGTCGACATGCTTGGAGGATGTACTTTCCTTTTATCAGCCCCGACGAGAACTTCTTGCTGACCAATTTTTTCGAGTGCTTTCTAATGGGATCCGTGGTTGGCATGGAACTATGCACGGATGTCAGTGCTCTGATCTATATGCTCATGGGTCGTTGTCACATCACGTTGCTCAGGAATCGATTGTCTACACTTCGAATGGATTCTGACAAGAGTGAGAAGCACCACGACTTAGAGCTGACCAAATGCATTCAAATTCATCGCTTAATTTTGGAGTAAGTTTAGTGGAAATCAAATATTTTATCTATATGTTATTTTTTTTTAATATTTTGGAACTTTACTTAGTTACTTTGATGTATTGCGTCCTGTCCTTTCTCGATCGATTTTCGTTCAATTTCTGTTGATTGGAGTGGTTCTTGGTTTGTCTGCGATTAACGTTATGTTCTTCACAACATTTTGGACGGGAATTGGAACGTTCTCCTTCATGCTTGGAGTCTCGCTGGAGACCTTTCCCTTCTGCCACTTATGCGATGTGATCATAGATGATTCCCGAAAGCTTTCCGATAGTCTTTTCCATTCAAATTGGTTCACGGCTGACCGTCGATACAAGACAACTTTAGTTTATTTTCTTCACAATCTTCAGCAACCCATAACACTGACAGCTGGAGGGGTCTTTCCAATATGTTCGAAGACTAATCTAGCGGTAACTATATAACTCTATATTTATTATTCAATATATAATAATTATTATTATTGTTTTATAGATGGTGAAGCTGGCATTTTCTGTGGTCACTGTCATAAAACAATTTAACTTTGCAGAAATGTTCCATTAGGAAACTTTTAAGGAGTTTAAAAATTCTTTAGTAGATTTTAGAAAGGTGTATCCTATTTTCGGTTGACTATTTTCAATAAAACTTTCAAGTGGAATAAACATTTTTTCTATCTTGATATTCAGTTTTATTGATAATTTTTCGTTTTGCATTCCAAAGGTCATGTGCTTGTTGTTGAAAAGGACAAATGCTTCTTTTAGTGAATATTGGCATGCCTCCCTTAACTCAATTAAGAATTCTCGTAACTATATGTATGGGACACACAAATTAATTACTACCCTCGCCAAAAGAATGGCGCAATCCATACATCCTATCCATTCCTATATAAGACTCTTTCTGTCATATAATCGACTCTAGTTTAAGTATAATTGTCGAATGAAATGTTAGGTACCTTATTTCCATGGATAAAGGAAAAGTCCTTAGAAGAGAAAGTAAAATCGCGAGATGCCTTTATATATTTAGATCGCGGAATGTACCTAGTTGGCTGGAAAGAACCACTCAATAAAAGGTGATTATTTTAATAAAACTCCCAAAAATATTTATTTTCTTTAGCTATTTAAAGGTGGACGTTGATCTCTAAAATATGGACGGGTACTACATCAATAATGTTAATAGTTCTGCTGCCAATATCCATGGTTATGGAGTATATTCACAATTTCGATAGCTTTTCGGTGGGCGAGTTCCTGAGCTCCCTTGAGATTTGCGTCAACATGTATGGATGCTCCTTCAAGAGTAGCTTCACAATGTTTGGTCATTCGAGGTTCCAGGTGGCTAAGAAGCTACTGGATGAAATGGATTCGAAATGTCACAGAACAGAAGAGTGGACCAGGCTACATCGATATGTGGCCTTGAGTAATCTGCTTTTCATAGTCTATTTTATATTGTATAGCACCTATGTAGTGGTGAACTTTACAGGCTATTTGCTTATGGGAAGCCACGCTTGGCGACTTTATAATCCATTTTTAGATTCCGAGAAGAATTTCTTTGCTTCGAATATAGTAGAGTTTCTTCTTATGAGTGCTGTGGTTCTTCAGGCTCTGTGCGGGGATCTGTGTCCTCTCACCTACCTTTTTTTGGGTCGACTGCACATCACCTTCTTCAAGGAGCGCCTGAGTCGACTGTACATGGACCCGGGAAAAAGTGATGATGAGCATCTCATAGACTTGAACAATTGTATTCGGAACCATCGCCTCATCTTGGAGTATGTGAATAGATCTATTTTATACCCCTACTACTAATTAATCCTCCTCAGGTATGTTAACGTGCTGCGCCCAGTCTTCTCTAGAACTATTTTCATTCAATTTCTTTTAATTGGTGTTGTCCTGGGATTCTCGATGATTAACGTGATGTTTTTCGCAAACTTTTGGACGGGACTTGGCACTTGCTGCTTTATGTTTGATATTTGTATGGAAACCTTCCCGTTCTGCTATTTGTGCGACGTTATTATTAACGATTGTAATGACCTTGCCGACACACTTTTTCAATCAAATTGGATAGCTGCCAATCGCCAGTACAAGGTAACCTTAGTGTACTTTCTTCAAAACTTGCAGAAACCTATTGTTTTCAAGGCTGGAGGGATTTTTCCCATTTGTATGAAGACTAATTTATCTGTAAGTTAACAAAAAGTTATTTTTTAATTTCTTAGTTCAATTTATATTAATTTTAAATCCTTGTAGATGGTCAAGTTGGCATTTTCTGTGGTCACGGTTATGAAACAATTAAACCTGGCCGAAAAATTTCAATGAAATCGTTTCTTAAAAGGCAGAAATAAAAGTGTTTTCAATTAATTCAATACTTTTAATTATTGGGACACTCCTTGGCTTCACATTAAACCACATTCACATCCATAATGGAATCCTATTTAAGAGGGACATTTAAATATTTCGTTTAATTAACAGAGGCTACAAAAGATTTTCTCACACATTTGTTGTTTGAGTCCTTCGGATGCGTTTAATTTCCATATTCATGGATGCAGGTTGCAAGGTGTCCTTTTTTGTGCGGCACGAGTGCGTGAGTTGATGTCCTCAATGGCAAAGAGTCAATATTATTACGAGCAACTTTTCGTGCTGTTGGTCAGGTTGAAATGACCGTAAAACGTTGGCCAAAATGCTTTCAATTAATGAAACACCCGAAAAGCAAGGATATAATGAGAATGCAGTATGCTGTTGAAAAAGCAAGGGCAATAGAGTTTTTTGAGGGTAAACCCAAGAGTGGGGAGTCCTGAACAACTCAATCAACAATGATCAACAATGATGAACATACTGGACATAATAATACAGAGAAAGAAATAATTAATACAAATAGGATGGTTATCTTTGATATTATAATCAAAGAAAGAGTTAAATTATATATTGTTCTATAACTATGTTCTGAAAATATAGGTTCTTTTCCCCCAGTGTCTTCTGTCGCGTACGTGGCATGCATCTCATTAATAATACAGATAATGTGTTTGGCGGCAATAATTTTTCGTTTGGATGTCATTGTGGTGGCGCTGATTAACACGGAAAAGACACACCAAGTCACTGAATTGCCAGGAATGGTGGTTGGAAAATTGTTGGACTTTTTCACATCCGACAGTGGAATGGTTGCATCGAATTATTGGCGATATTGGTATTGTTTCAATCAGTAAATGCATTTAAGAATCGGGATAGTCCCTGAATCCTGAATTTTAATTACATTCCATTGGTAAACTTTATTAATATGGAATTTTAAATCGGAAAGTACATCCATGTTGTGTACAAAAATGCGAGTGAATAATTATTTATTAATTTCCGCATAAAGAAGGCTCATTAAAGATAATTTTTGTGATTTAAAAATAACAGACATACGAGAAGGACTTAAACAAATCTTAAAGTTCGGAACAGTATATAATTAACTTAATTTTAAAGCTATTAAAAAATTTGAGCACTAGCCAAGTTGGTTAGGAAGTTGAAAAAGCACGAACCCTATTTTCCGCATTATTCTACCAGGACCATTAAGCTCAGCGATAAAGCCTTAACTTAAAGTTGGGTCAGTAAATTCACTGCACTTCTCTCTTTTGCCTAGAGCATGCTGTCTTTTTCGCTATACTGTCCACTTAATAAAGTGCAAACAGGCAAGTGATTATTTCACAGCTATTGTTCGAAACGGATGCGGGCTGGAGTTGGAACACAGAAAAGGACACGGTCGAGGGGCGGGGCAACAAAAGGATTTGCTTAATAACCAAAGAAAAGTAGCAGAATGCAAAAAAAAGGGATAAAAAATGGAGGAAAAAATACAATAAGGACAAACGCGAAAAGTTTTGCAGGACGAATAAAAAAATATGACCAGGAGAACCCATACAATGGCGGAACGAAAGAGATAGCGGAAGAATATGTGAATGAGATGGAGTTAGTCCAGCAGCAGAAATTTACGAGTTGCTTTATGACATCAGAACATACACACACCCGCAAGCTGCAAATGGTCACGCAATAACACTCCTGGGAAGGTCCTTCGTATCCCTTAGTTAAGCTACCTACAAAAAATTACAGAGTTTACTTTCATTTTCATTCAGAAATTCTCTTTGTGCTCTCTCAGAGTAAGAAAGCTTTATGTCGGTCCATATATATGTGATTCTTTAACCGGATGTCCTTCAACGATCTATTTTCCATCAATCTGCATCAAAATCGGGAAACTAATTATTTTTTAAATTTTTTTAAAATTTTTCTGGAGGGTTCCCTTCCAAATGTTGAAAAACGAAAAAATAAATATCTTAAACGTAGATCGATTTTGCATCAATCTGCATCAAAATCTGGAAAGAAATTATTTTTTCGATTTTTTGTCAAATTTTCTGGGTGGTCCCCTTCAAAATGTTGAAAAATACATGGGGTACGAATATGAGCCACAGCGATGACCATATCTTTGTCAATATTAATCCGTTCTTTGGGCGGAATATCTTAATCGATTTGTTGATCGATTTTCCATTAATCTGCATCAAAATCTGGAAATAAATTATTTTTTAGATTTTTTGTCAAATTTTCTGGCGTGTCCCCTTCAAAATGTTGAAAAATACATGGGGCTCCACTATGAGCCACAGCGATGGCCATATCTTTGTCAATATTAATCCGATCCTTGAGCAGAATATCTTAAATGATTTATAGATCGATTTTGCATCAATCTGCATCAAAATCTGGAAATAAATTATTTTTTAGATTTTTTGTACAATTTTCTGGGTTGTCCCCTTAAAAATGTTGAAAAATGCATGGGGTACCAATATGAGCCACAGCGATGACCATATCTTTGTCAATATTAATCCGATCCTTGGGCGGAATTACTTAATCGATTTGTAGATCGATTTTCCATCAATCTCCATCAAAATCTGGAAAGAAATTATTTTTTCGATTTTTTGTCAAATTTTCTGGGTGGTCCCCTTCAAAATGTTGAAAAATACATGGGGTACCAATATGAGCCACAGCGATGGCCATACCTTTGCCAATAATAATCCGATCCTTGAGCGGAATATCTTAAACGATTTGTAGATCGATTTTCCATCAATCTGCATCAAAATCTAGAAATAAATTATTTTTTAGATTTTTTGTCAAATTTTCGGGTGGTCCCCTTCAAAATGTTGAAAAATACATGGGGCTCCACTATGAGCCACAGCGATGGCCATATCTTTGTCAATATTAATCCGATCGTCCAGCGGAATATCTTAAACGATTTGTAGATCGATTTTGCATCAATCTGCATCAAAATCTGGAAAGAAATTATTTTTTCGATTTTTTGTCAAACTTTCTGGGTGGTCCCCTTCAAAATGTTGAAAAATACATTGGGCTCCACTATGAGGCACAGCGATGGCCATATCTTTGCAATATTAATCCGATCGTCCAGCGGAAACGATTTGTCGACCGATTTTACATCAATCTCTCTTTAAAATCTGGAAAGAATTTATTTTTCCGTTTTTTTTATCAAATTTTTTAGGCGGTCCCTTTAAGAAAAGTTTATGTTTAGATTCTAAACATAATATTCTAAACTTTAGAATATATTTTATGTTTCGGAGCCATTATTTATTCTAAATGTATCAAATTTCTAGGCTGAATACCTTCAACTTTGTGTCGACTGTGAATAAGTTTGTTTTCTTTAGTTGTGATAAGTTTTAATTTGTTTTTAAAATTTCTACTGTAGTCTCTTTTGAAGGATTTAAAAAACGTCATTAGAGATTCTCTGTGGTAATCGATCATTTGACTTATTTCTCCAAACATTTATTTTTCGCAATATGCAAATCTAGTTCTCCATTCTATTTAACCCTTTCAAGGACTTGGCCACAAAAAAGCTCACAAATTAGCGCTCATCATCAATCAAATTCTGGGCCAGCAGCCTGGGTCGAGGCCAAAAGGGGGAAAACGCTGACGCTAATTGCAATTTGTGGTTTCAGCCAGTTGCAAGAGGAGCGATGTGTGTATTGTACACTTCGTACCACAGACACAGTGCCCCACACACAATCCCATTACAATCCATCCAAACCTGGATTTCAATCGAGGTGCAAGATGATGGATTTTGGACTGAAGTGCCGCGAAGCTGAAAAACCACACCGACATCATCACTATATATACTATAGTTCCTAGATTCCATGCAATTTCATTGAAGCAATTTCAGGACTTGAGCCCAAACCCACACGGAAACCACCTGGTAAACTCAATCAGCTGGGGCCGGTATCTGACATCAGGTGTGCATATTCAAATCAAGTGTGGAAGGCGGTGGCCTGGAGGCGGTTTCTGTTTCTGGCCTTCTGTTTAAGGATTCCTTCACTCCTTTGATCCTTAACCTTTAAGTTAGTATTCTTGAAGGTAAATAAATACTTAAAATATTCAATTTACAATATCCTTTCATCTGAATATACAATTTATGACTGGCAGTGGCTGATTAAAACATCAAGTTATTTAAAATGTTTTTTTTTGAAAAGGGTTAAGAATTTAAATTGAAATACTTTTATGCGCATGGGGGAAAAAAAATTCCTAAATTGTTTCCCTTGTTTGTGTAAAAAAATGACCCTACTTATACTATAATTAAAAAGAAAAGAAAACAAATAAATGGGTTCTTCTTTGTAAATTTTTAATTGAAAAAATGCATCTTATAGTAGCCAGATATTGATTTCCTACGAAAGTTTTTCCAGCTGAAGCTATTTCCTAGGTTGTTTTATTTGTATTTTTTTAAACCTTGAAACCTTAAAAAATAAATCAATAAATATTGTTTAATACATAGATGAGAAAGTAAACAAGTGCCTAGAGTAAAAATGGCCAACTCATGGCAGCTGCTAAAGGAAGTCTCGAGTCCCGAGCCTTGTGTCCTCCTTTTACGGAATCTCTCCTTTATTCAAGCAGTATTTGTGGCATTTGAGTCATGCGGCACACGCTGCGTATGAGCTATTTTCTTAAGCCTTCAGCTTCAGTTGCCTCCTTTAACCTTTTGGCCGCCTGACTTGGCTCCTTTGTTGCTGGAGTCTAGATGGTGTGCCTGTGTGGTATGTGGGGCATGTGTAGCTTGCAATGTTCTGCTCCCCAGGGCCCTTCTTGTCTTATTGAAGGCATCCTGTGAGTTATTTTTATAGAGCTACTTTATGTCCCCATGTGGCATCAACTGGGTGGCTCGATTTTATTTATAAGTCTGACTAAACTATTTTAAGTCACGCAAATCATGCACTTCCGCATCGACTATTCTATGGTGACGTTATACATAAATTATTACAAAAGGATATATATGGAATAAGCTTTCATTTTATTAATTACAG